CACACAGGCACCGACAAATACATCCACCACTCGTCACGATATCAATAATACATTTCTTAGATATACGCAGAAAGGACTTAAGCTCTTTGGGAACGACATGAATCCATTTTACCTTTCAATTTCTCTTCAATACATAGACGATCATAGCTCTCCATAACTTTCTATTCCTTGTGGCTCTTAGCTGTTTTTCTCCCTCTGCTGAGGCTTCCGTCCTCAGCATGTCCCGCCATCTATTCACGCTAGCCCATCAAATAAGTGACTCACTCCCTTTCCCTATTATTCTTGCCCACATTATGCCTCATAAGCGTTAAGTTTTCCAAGCCTTCCTTCCTCATTATGAAATCCTAGATACTTCAGTTGTTTTTTTCCTGATTTTGAGTATAAGTGTTTTGTTTTTCTGTTGTTATATTCTTTAAAAATTCCTTGTTGCTTAATCGCTCCGTTCTTTGAATTCTCAGTATCTTTCTTTTTGTGATGGCAATGAACACTCGTTGCCACTTTTATGATTCCAACGAATACTCGTTGTTACTTTCGTAATGCTCGTTGTAGTAGAGACTTTGTAATCGCAGATACAACTATAGTACGCCGTTGAACAATACTGGTGTTAGACGCCTTCGAATATCACTCGATCTAATATTACTTGCTCGATAATAATCGCTCGAATAGTAATCCGTTTTGGGATCCGAATAGAGAAATAGTATAGGGAACAGAGTAGAGAATAGCGGTCCGTATAGTAATAGAGGATAGAATAGAAATGACGATCAATTACACGCTACGCTAATTCATATACATGACTTTCCTCTATGGTCACCTTGTCTACTTAATTCAATAATGGGATTGCCCGTGTTCGCCTACCGATTTATGTGTCGGCAGCGACACTTTATCTCAAGTGTTGGCAGCGACACTTTATTCCTATATAACACTTTTGTAGGACCATATTTCTGCTGCTTCTAGTTTTCTCCTCATCCATGAGGAGATAGTTCAGCATTCACTGCCATATAAAAGGATGGATAGCAATCCAACACTCTTCTCATTTCTCATCACCTTGCTTAGCTTTAGGAATGCTTCTTTTGCGAGTCCAATGCGTGTTCGGATCTCGGTGTCATATTTTCCATTCGCTGTTAGAATACTTCCCAGGAAAAAAAAAGATTAATAAAGTGCTTTATCCCTTCAGGATCATGGCTCTCCACAATTTCATGCGTTTTGTTTCTCGAATAACATAACTGTTTACGTTTCGTAATTACGTTTCTAAACTGTATTTCAAATTCGGTGGATATATTTTTAATTTGTTTTTTTTTAAGCAAGTGAGTGTTGAAAGTTTATCAGCCAGTCTATAAAGAATGTTCTAGAACCTTGAAACATAAATGTTATTTCCTCTTTGATCTTATTCCGCTTCCAATCCTCACAAACTCATTAAGCATACTTGCTGTTTCTCTCTGCTTTTCTTTTATGTCTTGTGAGTATTAACTTCTCCAAACCCACTTTTCTCAATGTAACCTTCGTCTCAACACTCTACCAACAGGCCAATGATTATTTCATTTGAATTCCGATTCTCACCTGTTCGTCCGGGAGGGTAGGTAGGTAGATGATAGCGGAGAGAACTTCTATGTCAGCTCTTCCGCAATAACAACTCCTCCCCTATCTGCTCATCCCGGCGTGGTAGATGACAATACGAATGGAGGCTCGATGTAACGCACGATGTACACGTCCGCTTCTCGTCAAAGGCTCATCAGAACGGTATTTAGTCACCCCCACCCCCACGAGGGCATCATGTGGCACAAGGTCGGTTTAACGTAGGATCTCTGAGCCCGTGGGCTCGGCCCAAAATATGCTCTTTGAACCCGTATAAACGGGTTCGGGGTCGGTTTACCTGCCTGAAAAAAAAAAAAAAAAATTGCCCGCCATCCGCATCGCTGATGGTAAACTTCAGACATTTTCTCACCATAGTGACATTGTTTTATCTCTGTCTTTTTTATAAATATTTTTATGACAATTATTCTGATTAGCTTTTTTTTGCCTTGACTCCATGAATTTAAGCGTACAATAATGTCTCGCTTTTTTTTATCAATCAATAAATTAGCTTCAACCGTCAGTTTTATTCTCATAGTTTCTTTTTCTCGCACTTCTCACATGTTGAGCTACATTTTAATTTCTTGCTTCTCTGTCACTTACAATCTTCAGAAATTTAAATGCAATGTCAAATGCAATGTCAAATGCAATTATCTTCCTAAACGGTGGATATATTTTTAATTTGTTTTTTTTTTTTAAGCAAGTGAGTATTGAAAGTTATAAACGGGTTCAGAGTCGGTTTACCTCCCTGAAAGATACTCCGCCCTTTGGCGTAGCCTCGTTCGGGTTCCTCTCCGCCCGAAGGCAAAGAGTTCAACCGATCAGCCGGTCAGCCGGTCGCACGACTTCAGACTCCACTACATATATGCGTTGGGGTGTAACGGATATCGGCTTGGAATGAGAACTCGCCGAGTTCGAATCTAGTTGAGTTTGTTAGATTCATTTGGCGAAAGGTATGAGTCCATCTCTTCTCCTGAAAATCTATGAGTTGAATAGCAGGAAAGACTGGTTCTTTTAACCTTTGTTAGCAACCAGTCTACCGCAGAAAGAATTGGCAACCTACTCCGAAAAAAAACATCTGCCTCGTCAGTATGTATGCATTTTTCATCGGATCAAATCTTTGGCATCGTGTGCCCGTGCACCCGTCTGCGCGTATGTGTATACGTGTAGAATGTCCTGTTTTTTTCTTTTTTTACCTTTTCGTCGTTTATTTTCACTTTATACTGACACTTTATTGCTTTTTTTTTACCTTTTCTCTTTTACTTGGGTAGCAATCTCTCTTTTAAATAAGTTTTATTTAAAACGTCTGACAAGGAACTGCAATGAAGCCTTTTTTATTAAACTTTATTTGCATTCGTAAAAGTATTTCTTTTTCCGAGTATAGAGCAATTAAAAAAAATACCCAAATGTTGCATGTTAGCCATTGTCAAGAATATCTTTTAAACTAAATATGTAGATTTATATATATATATATGTATCTGTAAGCAAATATGTGGGTATAGATCCGACAGTATGAAGAAAAATATGGAAAAACAAAAATCCGAATATGCAAGTATGCTGTTTTAATGTTGTTTCAATGTCGACGTCAGACGTTTCGGTCTAGTAGACCTTCTTCAGGATATAGTTATTAAAAAATAATTAAAATTAGACGATATTCAAGTCAACATGAAAAGACGATAGACATAAGACTAATCAAAACAGAATAAGTGAAATTTTTAAGATCAGCGTTCCGTTTCGCAATACGATCACGTCGGCGTCACGTGGGCGATGTTGTGAAAACGTATTCCTAAAATAGAGTATATTTTAAATGAAAAAGAATTTTATTTTAATCTAAAATTTATAAGTACGTTTGTTCAGCATTAATCTTGCCAGAAAAGGGGAAATATTAAAGAAGCCGGGTCTAGTATTCACCGTGCGTGAGATAGATATTACGCTTGCCTTTAAACAATGCTTTATTTGTACACATAACTAAATCTGATCATAATTTCGATTTTGATTCTGTGAAGATTTTAAAATATATTCATAATAAAAATCTTAAACGGATTTATTTTGTTTTTCCATATTTTTATTCATGTATGTATCTATGGAGATGGGATTTTTTTTTTACAATTTCTGAACATGGTCACTTCATTGTGGCTGTGTTCATAGTCGATATTATTAAGAATTGGTTTCGTTTTTATCATTAATGCCTCCACTATTTTTAGCCGTATTTGCATGCATACATTTTTGTACATTTTGCACGAATGCAAGAAAAAAAAAAGAAGCTAAATAGCAGTGCTTTGTCAGTCGTCTTCAATGAAATATGTTTTTATATACATGTAACATTTGCCTGAATTTCCGGGATAAGGACTTATCTTTATTTAAACTCTTTATGTTCGCACTATTGTCCTAATCTTTGATGTCGTTATCAGAATGTTTCGGTCATTGTGCCTCTGACCTTCTAAAGTTGTTTATCGATCTGAGTAACCTACAGCGAATTCTGAACTGAACCCTTTTATTTAGTATACTGTTCTCGTCCCACTGCTCAATCTAGGGATATCTCGTCTGGTTTTTATTTTCTTTAGTACTCTTCGATTATTGCTCCCCCTTTTCAACTGAGTATACCCTGTCCGACTCAGGGATTGAAGGCAAATGACAGCAAATCTTCAACAGCAGCAGCAGCAATCAAAATATGGACAACAGCAGCAGCAATCAAAACATGAACAGCAGCAGCAGCAACAACAATCAAAACATGGGCAGCAGCAGCAGCAGCATTAGCAGTTGCAACCTAATCAGTAGCCAGATATTAGATCCTTGAATTATTCATGTTTTTTCACGTTTCTTCACCCTTTTGTTCAAATTTCTTAATATATTGAGTATTAGTGTCCGGATGTTTACACAAGTATGTTGCGGCATATATGGTGAAAAAACAGAAAACAAAACAAAATAAAAAACAACAACTCAGCAACCGACTTCGATATAAAATATATTGATTGGTCGCTCAATTCTAATGCAAGCTTTCGTACGTATTGTGTCCAGTTGAGATTTTCTCTCAAAAGATCCAATAATTGAAGGACGATGACATTTTTGATCATACCAAACGATATTATTAAACTATTGGCTAGGTACATAACTCAGTACTATCTGTGGCATTGTCGTTTTAGCAGCGACTAAACTTGTTCCTTCAACGATCTTTTCTGCTAAGAAGGGTAGATAGACAAAAGAAATAATTGAAAAAGTGATCTATCATTTTTGCATATTTTATTGGCTCAAATGTCACCCACATGAAAGTACATTGTCAATTCTGACCATCACTCCAGAATGAAAGGAAAATGATGAACTTGAGGGAACATTATATACATATATATATATATATATATATATATATATATATATATATATATATATATATATAGGTGTGTGTGTGTTTTGTGTGTGTTTTGTGTGTGTGTCTATGTGTGTGTGCGTATAGATAGATAGATAGATAGATAGATAGAAGCTGTGTAAGGGCGAGGGAAGATTTATTTTTCTCGTTATGCGCAAAAAAATCTTTCCATGATAAACCGTTACATGTTTCAATTTCCGCCATATTGTGTCTCTAAATTTCCTCCCGAACCTTAAATAACAAAATTCAAATGCAGACAGCGAAAAAGAAAAATCAATAAGATGAGAATTCAATATTCAAATTCAATACCGACATCAAATGTCAATTATGGTTGGCTTCGATTGATTCTTTTGATATCAAACTTCAACCAGCCCCTCCCCCCGCCAAATTTGAAATGAAGCTTTCGATTTATTTTCATTCATCATTTTTCCCTTCATTTTCATTTTTCTTTCAATTTCATTTCCATTCCTTTGAGGGACGCTAATGATGAAATATCATTTTGATGTGGATGATAAAAATGTTCTAATAAAAAATGTTCACTGTAGGTAAATTATATTTGATTTACTATACTTTAATATGATATAATTCTTGTATATATATATATATATATATTAATGATAACATTAAAAGTAATAATAATAATAATAATAATAATAATAATAATAATAATAATGATGATGATGACGATGATGATGATGATGTCAGATGTAAAATAGGAAGCAATATACATCGACAATTTCGGACAAAATAACAAACGGTAAATGAAAAATCTACGCATATCATTTCATTCATAATTTAAAAAATGCTAGATCGTTGTCGAATCATGCGAAACTGCCGAACCACTGAAAATGAAAACATTCAAGAATGCGAATATCTGTGATAAGTAGTTTCGCTGTTGCTATTCGTTGCGTGGTTAACAGCATGGGAGAAATCATGAGTAATCTCCCTTAGAAAGGAACCATTCTGCAGCTGCCTTTCAGAATTTTATAATTTAACAGCGCTGAAATAAGTATTTCTTTTTCCAGCTTATTTGGTTAACAAGTGTAAATACATTTAATAAAAACTCACTAGAATTCGAATAATTGCTTAAAATCTGAAAGAACGAAAAAATGTCAATAGCGGTAATGGTAATAAAACGATGGGGAATTTAGTCGTTTGCTTATAAGAAAACATTTAGCATTAATTGACAGAACAGTTAGCATTAATTGACAGAACAGTTAGCATTACTATCAGTTGAAATTTATAAATCTTTCTCTTAAAACAGTTTTCGGGATAATAGTTTTCTTAATTAATACAGCTCTTTCTCATATTGATAGGGGCTTCTTCCGTAACCTTTTGTTTAAGGTAGTGTAGAAAGTCAACATCTTGTTTACGGGATTATTTTCTCTTTGAGTTATATGCATTATCCATTTTAGTTGCTGATGCTGTTGAACCTTTTCATGTGATATTGTTTCCGGTATCAGATCATTGCAAATATTCTGTCCCGATTTTCATTGTTAATATAAAATGACTGTAACATAACATTGTACGTTCTAGATTGAAAGCTCGTCTCTTTCATTGGCGAATTAGGCTTTGTTGAATGTTGACGTTTTGTTCACGGAGATATGCTTAAAAAAAAGGAAGATTAAAAAGTTGCACTTTCGTCATATTATGCTCTATGAATTTTGGAATGGAGTAAGCGTCAGAACTACGACAAAAAATATCCAGAAAGTTTATTTGGATCGTACACTAGCTTTTCGGACAGCTAAAATTGGTTTGGCAGATTTCGTTAGGACGATCATGACCGAAAAAGCTCCACCACACCCCGGGCGGCCTTTCAACATCGTTGAAGACGCTCCGCTTGCCATCGGGGAGAATAAACTGAAGATTGTGAAGGAAGAGATTGCTAAGAGTTTGAAAATCGATATATCAACAGCCATTCGCCATTTTAAGGGACTTGGGTATAAGAAAAATCGGTGTTTGGCAACTCTGAAACATGTCATTTTCCACCACGACAGCAAGTCTTGCGTTGTCGTGATAAAAAGTTGCAAACAGAAGCTTTAAAAATTGAAATGGGAAATCTTCCATCACTCACCATATTCTCCTAACTTGGCTCCTTCTGATTTTCATTTGTTCCAGTCTCTACACAACGAATTAAGTGACCAAAAATTTGACTCTGTACGAAAACTACCTCACACCCTTCTTCCAACAAAATGCACAAAGTGTCTGTGAAGATAGCATCAACAGCCTTGTAGAACGATGGGAGACATTTGCTAAAAACAATGGAAACTATGTATGTGACTAATAAATGTTTTAATAACTAATAAATATAAATGCGAAATTTTGGTTTTAATTTTCTAATTAGTCACAAACATTTGCAATTATCTTATACTTGGTTCTTTATGATTGTGTAGCGCCAGTCTTCGAGATCCAAAGAAGGACAGTAGTCTTCAAGACTTTACAGGATTGAATCTATCTTTAATCATTGATCTGAGAAAACGGTTATAAATAGCTGATATTTAGATATTTCTCAACGAATTGAACGCTATGCATAGCATCCACATGAGGTGCTAAATCTGACGGAACTATTTACGAGGATGACCCGAGTTCTTAGGTTTGGGATAAAAATACCCCTACTGAAGTCTATCCTGTGTTCAATCCCGTTATCTCCGATACTAAAAGGATTATAACATATTTATAAAGAAAAAAAGATGAAAATTTTGTACCTACTGTTGCGATATACGTGACAAACCTGATTTGCAGACAAGATTACCTGCGTAGCGATGGGTTTTTTTCTTATCTCCGGATGAGACTAAACTAAGATTACTAAATATCTTTTTTTTTGTAATCAAATCAAACAAGGCAGTAAAGCTACTAAGACACAGGGGTTACTGGGTGGGAAAGAATTTGAAAGGTGAGGTAGGGGTGAAAATGCATATACGGAGGTAGGGGTGAAAATGCATATACGGAGGTGGGGGTGAAAAAGCATATACGGAGGTAGGGGTGAAAATGCATATACGGAGGTAGGGGTGAAAATGCATATACGGAGGTGGGGGTGAAAATGCATATACGGAGGTAGGGGTGAAAATGCATATACGGAGGTGGGGGTGAAAATGCATATACGGAGGTAGGGGTGAAAATGCATATACGGAGGTGGGGGTGAAAATGCATATATACGGAGGTGGGGGTGAAAATGCATATACAGGTAGGGGGTGAAAATGCATATACGGAGGTGGGAGTGAAAATGCATATACGGAGGTGGGGGGGAAAATGCATATACGGAGGTAGGGGTGAAAATGCATATACGGAGGTGGGGGGGTGAAAATGCATATACGGAGGTGGGGGTGAAAAAGCATATACGGAGGTAGGGGTGAAAATGCATATACGGAGGTGGGGGTGAAAATGCATATACGGAGGTGGGGTGAAAATGCATATACGGAGGTGGGAGTGAAAATGCATATACGGAGGTAGGGGTGAAAATGCATATACAGGTAGGGGTGAAAAGCATATACGGAGGTGGGGGTGAAAAAAGCATATACGGAGGTGGGGGGTGAAAATGCATATACGGAGGTGGGGGTGAAAATGCATACGGAGGTGGGGGGTGAAAATGCATATACGGAGGTAGGGGTGAAAATGCATATACGGAGGTAGGGGTGAAAATGCATATACAGGTAGGGGTGAAAAAAAAAGCATATACGGAGGTGGGGGGGTGAAAATGCATATACGGAGGTAGGGGTGAAAATGCATATACGGAGGTGGGAGTGAAAATGCATATACGGAGGTAGGGGTGAAAATGCATATACGGAGGTAGGGTGAAAATGTATATACGGAGGTGGGGGTGAAAATGCATATACGGAGGTAGGGGGTGAAAATGCATATACGGAGGTGGGGGTGAAAATGCATATACGGAGGTAGGGGTGAAAATGCATATACGGAGGTAGGGGTGAAAATGCATATACGGAGGTGGGGGTGAAAATGCATATACGGAGGTGGGGGGTGAAAATGCATATACGGAGGTGGGGGTGAAAATGCATATACAGGTAGGGGTGAAAATGCATATACGGAGGTAGGGGTGAAAATGTATATACGGAGGTGGGGTGAAAATGCATATACGGAGGTGGGGGTGAAAATGCATATACAGGTTGGGGTGAAAAGACATATACGGAGGTGGGGGTGAAAATACATATACAGAAGTGGGGGTAAAAAATGCATATACGGAGGTGGGGGTGAAAATGCATATACGGAATTGGGGTGGTAAAAATGAAGATATGGAGTCGGGGGGTGAAAATACACGAAGGTGTGGGGTGGGGTAAAAATGCATACACGAAGGTAGAGGGGTGAAAAGTGCATATATGGAGGTGGAAGGAATGCATATACGAAAATGGGAGGGCCCGATCAAGTAGGGATTTCAAACACAGTTTTGATGTTCATTCATTGGGCAAGAATTTAGGAAGTAGGTCAAGCCGATAACTTTTCAGCACTCTATTGAAAGACAAAGAATTTGAACATCTTTAGTTTCGACACTGGTGTTATAATCATTCAATAAATAACGAAAGTAATTACAATATGGATCGCTTAACAGATTTAGGGATTATAAAGATTATAACAAATATGTTACATATACTGCATTGTCCAATTATGATAATCTTCTTTCATGTGTGGTGTCCCTTAAGGACGTGGGTGATATAACATCCCATAAGTTCCTATCCATTGTAAATTTTAACAATATTTTCTCCTTACTATTGATCCCAGATCTTGTTCTGCCAGGCATTTACACAAATTTCTTTTGGTGTGTTACTCGCTGATTTCATCTGTCCCTCTGGCCATTACTACGTCCTATGATTATCAAATTTGCCAAGAATACGATTCTCATGTCACAGAAATTTCAACTCTCTTTCTGATTCTAAGACTAATGCGACTTTGGATTTCTGTATAGCATGTTCTGTCGTCTTTTATATCAATTGCCAGAAGCTTAAATTTCTGTACTTCTTTATTTCGACGTCTTTAATTGGTAACAAACATAAATTCTGTTTTCTCACAATTGACATTTCATCCTTTCTTTTTACTTTTCACAATTGACGTTTGATCCTTTTTGTTCATTATCCACAATTGATGTTTGATCCTTTCTTTTCACTTTTTCCAATAGAAGTTTAATCCTTTCCGTTCATTTTCTACAATTGATGTTTGATCCTTTCTTTTCACTTTTCACAATTGACGTTTAATCTTTTCTGTTCATTTTCCAGAATTGATGTTTAATCCTTTCTTTTCACTTTTCAAAATTGACGTTTAATCTTTTCTGTTCATTTTCCACAATTGATGTTTGATCCTTTCTTTTCACTTTTTACAATTGATGTTTAATCCTTTCTTTTCATTTTCCACAATTGATGTTTGATCCTTTCTTTTCACTTTTCACAATTGACGTTTAATCCTTTCTGTTCATTTTCCACAATTGATGTTTGATCCTTTCTTTTCACTTTTCCCAATTGACGTTTAATCCTTTCTGTTCATTTTTCCCAATTGATGTTTGATCCTTTCTTTTCACTTTTCCCAATTGACGTTTAATCCTTTCTGTTCATTTTTCCCAATTGATGTTTGATCCTTTCTTTTCACTTTTCCCAATAGACGTTTAATCCTTTCTGTTCATTTTCCACAATTGATGCTTGATCCTTTCTTTTCGCTTTTCCCAATAGAAATTTAATCCTTTCTGTTCATTTTCCACAATTGATGTTTGATCTTTTCTTTTCACTTTTCACAATTGACGTTTAATCTTTTCTGTTCATTTTCCACAATTGATGTTTGATCCTTTCTTTTCACTTTTCACAATTGACGTTTAATCTTTTCTGTTCATTTTCCACAATTGATGTTTGATCCTTTCTTTTCACTTTTCACAATTGACGTTTAATATTTTCTGTTAATTTTCCACAATTGATGTTTGATCCTTTTTTTTTACTTTTCACAATTGTCGATTAATCCTTTCTGTTCATTTTCCACAATTGATGTTTGATCCTTTCTTTTCACTTTTCACAATTGACGTTTGATCCTAGCTTTTCACTTTTCACAAATGATGTTTGATCTTTTCTTTTCACTCTTCACAATTGATGTTTAATCCTTCCTTTTGACTTTTCTTTTCGGAGTCCATGTAATTTTCCCCGATAGATAGTTATGAGGGGTTATCATTATTTACATGCGGGAAATCTCGTCTAGTTCTCATTTAGTACTACTCATTTATCGCTCGCCCCTTTTCAATACCAAAGGCCGCTTTAATCATGTGCTGTGGGGCAATCCTGAGCGGAGAATTTGAAAACGTAATCCTAACTTGTCAGCTGATGAATGCTGCTACTTATTAAAGATTGGGGAAATTATCCAAACTAATTGGTAAAACAATAGCTCGCTTCAGATCATCAAATTCTAACTAGCTGCTTACAGATTTTGACAATGTTTCTGAAATTAAGTCGATGAACGGAGAACACGTTGAAGTTGATGGATGCACAATCGTCAGAACCCCAGAAGCTAGACCCAAAACACGCAACGATTAACCAGTATTGAAAAATTATAGACGACTCTGTGTAACAAAAACGAACAATGTAACGGAAACTTAATAGCAAAACCTGAGACCTCTGGGATAGCTAGAAAAATGTCAAAAATACTAAAGTTTCAAAGATGGAAAAAAAAAGACCATCTAACGATTTTGAAATACAAACAATCGCCACAGGAGATAACGTGTCAGAAGTATGATTGAAAAATAAATAAGGTTTAGCGAAAAGCGCAAATCATAACGGCATAAGATAGTTGCATTGATGATGATTGTGTCAAAAAAATCGATAAAATTAATGCCGGAGGGCGAAAAGAGACTAATGGACTTTGTTAGAGAATCCCCCAAACTTAGCCGAAAGGAAAACACAGACCTAATTGTGTAGCAAAGGTAATTTACTAGCAATCAAGTTGATGATATGATTATCAACGAAAGTTTAGAAACAAAATGGAAGCTGCTCTGGAAGCTTCGAAAATAACCGGAAACGGGATTTAGAGACGCAATTTGATTATCTCGTTCAAACAAAGCTGACTTGGCGGGATCTTGGCATTGGTAAAAATGTCACGAAAAAAAAAAGGACAAGAACATCTTGATCTGTCCGTGACATATATTCCCCCGCCGTGTCGGCCATTTTCTTTATCACGTATGGTTCGTTGTATTGTATGCTGAAATAAAACCATGACTGGTTGGATTTTAGAGCTTATAAATATGGCAACGATATCGGCTCTCGATATATGTCGATTATTCGGTAGGGTAGAACAAAAACGAGAATGGTTTTTTAGAGTGTTTTTTTGTTTTTATTATTTAAGTGATTTACATGTGAACCATTCTTCTCATCATTGTTGTTATTATTATCACATCTTTTCGGCCGCTGTGTCCTTCGGCCTTCATCAAGTGTTTGTCGATCCGAGTAACCTACAAGGAGTTTCGAAATGGAGGCCTACAGTTTAACCGGACTGACATAGTCCTGATGAAAGCTGAACGGCAGAAAGGACAAAGTATTCTGATAAGAAGAACAACAAAGATGAGGAAAATAGATCCCAGGTAAATAATGTAAATAATAATAACCACACATCGCAGACATACAGGCAGAAGGCGATCAGATGATAATAACAACAAAGATGAAGACATTCGACAGAATGTAAATAATGATAACACCTCATCCATAAATTCTGATAGAATTTCTTTGTTTTTTTTTAAGTCATTTTTAATTGAAGTCCTGAAAAGTGAAATAATTACAAATTAATCAACTCATATATACGAAATAAAAATATTACAAAATCTCTTGGAATTTCGGACACTATCTTTGCAAATGATTCCGTTGTAAGGGTCTTTTTTTTAACAGTAGCTGATTGTATCATCGAAAACTGACGGGCTACCAAACAGTAAAGATATAAGAAAATATTATCTACCAAAAATAGTACATTTCATACTAGAGACTAATGAATATATTTGTAATCTGTTTCAGTTTTTATTGGTAGCTTCAAATGTCATGTCAATGTATTTTAATTAGGCAGATTCACTTCAACAGAGTTCTTTTATTAAAGTATATTTGGATAAGTTCCTTGCTTTGCCTTTTGATTCCGTTAAATGCGAACAGATGGATATTTTCTTGTAATTCTTTGTTTCTTTGACGGACAGATTCTTTTTATCGTATTTGAAAGCAATCATGATTCACAATGTGTCAAAATGACGCAACGGACGCTACTGAACAAATGCTATTCATTTGTCATATGTGGACATTGCTCACAAATCGATGTTAATAATTTGATGTTTTTTTTACATTGTTTTCTAAGGCACAACTTTATCGGTTTAGAGCAGTTCATGCTTGTAAATAAAACTACGAGAAACGGATGTGATGCATATAGAAATAAAAAAGAACACGCACATATATATATATATATATATATATATATATATATATATATATATATATATATATATATTGATTTTCTAAGCATATCTTAGATGTGGCACAAGGCCGAAAGTATGGAGCACCCAGTGAGGATCGAACTCACTATTCAGTAGTAATTGGTCTAGCAAGGAAAGATTGCTAATGCTCGAAGTGGCACTTCCACGTGGTGCAAAAACGCTAGCGAGCTAGTTTTGTCAAATCAATAACGACTGAGTTGTGAGTTCGATTCTCAGCAGGTACTTCACACTTTTGGCCTTATGTCACATCTAAGCTATGCTTAGAAAAATCACGATTACATCACATCAGAGTGCCTAATAATGAGTTACTAAGGATGATTTAGATGTGACACAAGGCCGAAATTAGGGAGCACCCGTTGAGGATAGAACTCATTACTCAGTTGCAATTGATTTTGCGAGAACAGTTTTTGTTATTAGATAAAAAAAATAATGGAAGCCTTAATAATAAAAAAGAAAAAGCTAACACTCAATAATAGAGAAACATAGACACAATCCATACACTCAATTAAAAAATAAAAATAAAATGATCCTTGATAATGGCTAAAAGTAGGGCCGAAGGCGCTCGGAATTACAGAACATTTCGACAGTTTCTACACTGTGTCCAGAAAAGAAAGCACTTGTTCGAACACAAGAAAAAATAAAATAAAAAGCTTAATCGCAGTACTTTGTCTGTCGTCTTTAGTGAAACATGTATAAATGAAGGATTGTTGCCAAAATACACCATATATATAGAGAGAGATAAAAAGAAAACTTATCATAGCTGACAGGGTTTGACCTATGATGGATTTTATCAAGGCAAATGTAAAGATTTTATTTCGCAACCTATAATATAATTTAATTAAAAAAATTCCCAGCAT